TGGCCAAGCATTGGAACAGGCTGCCCAAAGGGGTGGTGGAGTCACCATCCTTGGAAGTGTTCAAAAAATGGGTAGACATGGCACTTTGGGACATGGTTTAGTGGGCATGGTGGTGTTGGGTTGATGGCTGGACTGATGATCTTAGAGATCCTTTCCAACCTTAATGATTCCTAGTTTTTACTTTCATTAAAAAATAATTCAGCCACCAAGCCAGGAAACATGAAATTATTACTCTAGCCTTAACTGGTTTAGTGGTGGACTTGGTAGTGTTAGGTTAATGGTTGGACTGGATGATCTTAAAGATCTTTTCCAACCTAAATGACTCTATGATTCTATGATCTCGTCCTACCTTAAATTAATGGCATATCTGCACAGCACAGTGCCCCTCGGTAATCCCGCCTGATCTCCTCCCAGAGAGAGAGCAGAGACACTTCCATGTCTTGCTGAAGTAGAGATAGCCCTGGCCGTCATTCACACCACATCTCCTCTTCAGTGCAAGGAGATGGTCAAGGTCAAAATATTGCAGTTGCAGCTTGATGCTAACCATTCACTCACCTGAAGACTAAGTGCTTGCAGCAAAACATCATTTTGCATTCCATGTTTGCAAGTGTCAGGGCAAGAAAATACTGCTTGCAAGTTACTTTGGAGCTGCTCTCACTTTAAAACCCAAGTGGCTGTCAGGGTGTCCCAGTTATCTTCCTTGTTTGCTGATGGAGAACAGGACTGACCCTGTGAAGATGACCACTTAGAAACACCAAGCATTTTAAATGGGTTTCCCCATGCCCTCAAGAGTTGCCACGTCTAAACAACTGTAACTGAGTTCTCGCACCATCCCGCATGTTTTCACTTGGCTGCTGAGATATCCAGGAGCCTATTTCTGAAGCTCCACTTTCTGCGGGCCAGCTGGGGATGCGTAAAAAGCTTTTCACCACTCTCAGCCCAGGGTGAGGGCAGAAGACGGTGATGGCCAGGCCTGAATTCAGGAGCAACACACTTCCCTTCCTGAACAGTCCCTAGGGAAGGATAAAGCTCTTTCCACTTTCACAGTCCTCCCTTTTACAAGAAAGAGGCTTCTGATCTCTAGCATAATGTTTTAATTTGCGGCGACACCGAACACAGCAGCAGACACACTGATGGACTCACTCAAGGCAGACAGCGCTCTAGCTAGTTGTCTGGGAACTTATTTGCTTGCTTGCAGGTATGTTTTAAAGAGAGAAACAGATCAAGTGAGAGGTGATAAAGACGGGAAAATGAAGAGGATGAGGTAGGTTAAAATTGAAATGAAACAGAATCCAACTAAATGAAATAGAGTCAGATTTTCCACCTATTTTGTCACCACACCTGTCGTGCAGCTGGTAGCACTTGAGCATCCCCTACTGAAGGTGGGTTTAAAGGTCACAGCATGACCAGCAATGAGTGGGAACCACACTGTGCAGTATTTATACATACATACATAGAGTGAGAGAGACAGATGCTGATGATGTCCTAGTGAGAAACAATCTTTAGTGTTAAGGGGCTATCCACAGGAGAGTTAAGTGGAAACCTGTGACTGCTGGAGACAGAGACCTGTTGCTCAGACCTCAGCCTCCTACAGTTTCCACAGGACCTCATACAGCAAACACAATGGATCCCATGCCAAGATACCATGATCCCACAACTTTTCCTTTGAAGGTAGGCAATTCCGAGTTATAACAGAACCCCCCACCCCCACATTTGCTGTATAGGCTCCATCCAACTTATAAAAATGTCTTATTGTAAGTGTTGCAGATTTACGGAATGTTATTCATATCGTACTTTCGACAAAAGTACATTACCAGAAAGCGCTCTTCCACAGAGAAGCTAGAAAATCAGGGATGAGCACGAACCTGTGGGGATCATCAGGGTCACAGTTTGGAAGAAAGTTAGTGACAGCTTCTGCCACTTCTTCATTTAACAGCACATCCCAGAGTCCATCAGTAGCTAGGATCAGAACATCATCTGGCCCATGCTCATACTGCAGGAGGTCATAGACTCTCACCTAAAACAAAAAAAAACCCAAGAGACATCTGTGAAGGAGACTGTCAGACCTGTTTGTGACACGTCGCTGTGTTTGGCTGTGAGTTAGCAGGTTCGGCCAGGGCACTGAAATACCTCTCCCGCAGCACTGCTGGGGTCTGTCTCCAATTTAGCCCTCGAGATGGCAACCCTTCCTGCCCTGGCTCAGCACAACTCAAGTGCTGATCCCAGCCGGGATGGATGCAAGCGTTCCTAAGCCAGGCTGTAAAGCACCATGCTGCCCGCTGCCAGCAGCACTTGAAGCCTCCATCGCCCAGCAGCCTATCATCAGGAGTAGTCATATGGAAGCTGAATAATTTATTTGATGAATTTTTGATATTTTCTAATAAAATATTCACAAATAATTGTTTTCACTATTTGTCCAGATCCATTTAACTCTGCCAGATAAATTGCACATGTTCAGAAATGCCTGTGTCGCAGAAGGCATCACATTTACTTTTCTAGACCTGAGGCACTGCTGCACTCCAGAATTAAGCCTGAGCAAGTGAGTTCCACGAAATGGAGAAAAACTGTTTACTTGCTCAGTTATGTGTATCTGTAAGGAGTTCAGGAGGCAGATACAATTCAAGATCTGCACAAAAGTGAACCGCCAAGCTTACCCACACTGGTAAAATGCCCACTGGCTTCACCTTGTCAGTCTGCAGCCACAGCCAGGCTGACCACTGCTGCTGGCACCTCTGTAACACCCTGCCTTTAAAACAACTTCCATCATCCTCTTCCCGGCAAGGCTGGGGGAAGCCGGGAGTGGAGTGGGCAGACACGGGGTGGGGCCAGGAGGCCGTCAGCTGAGCCAGAATATGAGGAAAGGCCATGACAAGTGTTTTAAATTGAGCCTTTAGTTGGGTGTAACTCTCCTTCCAGGAGAACACATACTGTATTCCAGCCGACAAACCACCTGCAATTTCCAGGTTGTGATCAGGAGCTCTTATGAAGCACCCACAGAGCACTTTAACTACCACAGCAAGAACCACAGTTTGAAAGAATTGTGACAACCTTGGCAAGGCAGACAGGAGGAAACAGTCATCTGCACTAAAGTTTGGAAACGGTGCACCTCATCACACACCCTGCTCTGGCCTCAGGCTCCACTAACAGCAGCGGTAGTTGGGAAATTTGTCGGAACAAGCAGTTGGCATAACTAGAAAATATGAGCTGTTTTATTCTCCCTCCTGATGCATTCTCCCCTTAGGAGCCATGGAGCAGGCAATGCACATAAAATGCCTGGACCTTTTAATGTAATTATGGTTTTATGGGACTGCAACCAGTACCGGAGGAAAAAAAGAAAAAATCACCTAGACCTGACTGCTAATCCATACTTGCTCGCCTTTCACTCAAAAGCACAAAAAGGTCATTTGTAAAATGTAACCTTCACTTCATTATCTAAGGTAGCAGCTGAATAAGGACTTTAGAGAGGATTAAAGTCAAGGCAAGATACTCTCTCTTCATTAGAGCATATCTCCTTATTCAGATTGAGTGGGAATACTGTTACAGAAAAGATCCCTATATGTAGCTCCTCTAAAGCCCACTGCACAGAAACCAGTAGCTGTCACAAGCCCCATTCCCCAAAATTTAGTTCAGCCTATAACAGCCCAGGGTTTCAACTCGAAAAATCCTTGGGGTGTGGGGGTAAGTTGGCCAACACAGCCGTCAATAAGCAGCACGTGTTCTGGTCGGATCTCTTGGGTACGGGCAAATATTTGAGAGAGCATCAGGGTTAATGGTCAGCGATGCACTCAGCAGAAAGTCCCTCATAGGAATAACCAAGCTTTGAATGTCAACACTAGGAAAAACACATCTACCATGACTCTCCCACCCAGGCAAAGTACACATTACACCACAAGAGCCTTTTTCGCAGGAAACCAAGACCATCCATCATTGATTTTAATCCTCCTGAAATGAACAATCTTGTCTGGCTGGGGAGTGGCACGGGGGCAGATAAGAAACTTGTCAAAGCTACCTACAGCCAATCCACAGGTCAAAAGGTCCAAAGCACAATGCTAGAGCAACACCAAGAACAAATCATTTTACCAAGAACACGTTTACTTTTTGGGGAAAAGAAAGAAAAAAAAAAAGCAATCACTAATTTTACAGGTAATCTGGGAACAAGGTAGTTCCTAAAAGCAAAAGCTTTGTGAACTGAGCACCTCCAGAAAGGACTGCAATTGAGAAGGAACTAGATGTCAGACGAGGTGCAGAGAAGGGCAGTGGGGTGAGCAATAAGGATTGCTAGACTGGTACCTAGGCTAAGGAAAAGAGAGTGCCAAGGTTACAGGAGGCAAGCTTGGGGCAACTTCAGGTAAGATTCTTGTACAAAAAGGACCAGTTGGACATGCAACAAAATGTTCACTGAAATGCAGCTTTGTCTGTCTTCCAGTTACCACAGCAGCAACACATTAGCGTAGCCATGTCCGCATAATACTTAATATTTTCTTAAGCTCTTTCTTCCTGTCTTCCCTCGGATTTCTAAAATACAGCTGTAGGTGCCCCCCTGTACGTTGCTGACAAAAATGAGTTAATTTAGAGCTGTCCAGTCTATCATAGGTTCAGGTTATGCTCCCAAAACAACTTGCCCAAGCGAGACTATGCCAGAGTTTCGGAAGAACAAGCCGAGATCCAGGGAGTTACTTAAGTGCCTGCCACAGCAAGCAACCCTGCAGACCTGTAAATCTTACGTGACTGAAAGCAGCTCATTGCCTCCAGTGGAAATTGCTACTTTTTAATTTTTTTTTTCTAATTCCAGAGCCAACCTACCTAAAGACTGCCTTCTTCCCATAGCTGTATTTCAGGAAACTAAACAATATCAAGGCTGAAGCGATGTTCCGTCTGCAACAGAAGTTTGCACAAATCTGCAAGCACTGCAAAACAGTATCCCATAGCCCCACTAGTGCAGATGACGGCTGGTCAAACACCGGCCGGCAGTGCAGAGTTTTCCTTAACTGGTGCTGCACCCTTGACAAATTTCCTAGCAATTCCACCCATAATATTCAGACTTTCCCTCATGACTCGTTGCTTCTGCAGCCAGATGTCAATCATGATCCTGCTCCACAGAACTCCTGTGCTCTGCCTCAAATGCCTTGGGCTACCTGTGCTCTGTCCTCTGCCACCCGTGCCGTCCCGAGAGCCTTGGCCCCAACTCCCCCCAGCTTCCCGCCCCTTCTGTGCTGCCCTGGCAAACTTCCTCACTCTAACATCTCTCTGGAACATCAGGGCACCCCTCGAAGGAGCCTAGCTTGGTCACCATACTTCGACCATCCACTGATGTCTTACTTGACTTGGAGCAGCTGATCTGTTAATTAGCTAAACTTGACTTTAGTAACCAGAAAATGTAAAAAGCCAATGATAAGGAAGTGGCATCACCTTGGTAGCACAAACATCCAAGACAGTAAGAGTTGGGTTATGCTACGTTTTATCCTGACGGGTACTTACAGATCTCTGCTGATAGGTAACAGCGGATACACACCGCTAGAGCCCATAGTCACACATGACATGTTTCTGAACATGTGTTATGCAGTTTGTCAGATAACACCTTTCTTCAATCCAGGTATTTGTTCCTCATATTGCTCACCTACAAGCAGTCAAGAGCGCTGAGAAAAATGCTCTGAGCAAGCAACAAACAAACAGGTGGGCTGGTTTTATATTTACATTTGAAACAGATCTACTCACTGGACAAAACCTGTGTTTGGCTGCTGAAAAGGACCACAGCAGCTCTGCAAAGGCGCTGCAGCTTGTTTGCCAGGTTTGGTTTTAAGAGGCAGCCAACGCGAGTCCCTGCAGCTTGAAAACCGCTCACAACAGAGTGACACGCGAGCCTGCAGCCACCTGAGGTGCTCCTCAGCAGCTGGCCCCGGGGGAATTCGAGCCAAACAACAGCCTGCATTCACTCGCCTGCACTGTTGATCAACTCGGCTACTTCAATAAATTAAGCCCTTTCTTAATTGTATTGTCCCTTTTTATGTGCAGTGTTATCCAGCGCAGCTTCACTGGCAAACGATGAGATCTTTCAATACCACCCTCCAAGTAATTTATATGTAAATAATAAAAAGCGGGTCCCAACACTGCTCCCTGCAGCACTCACCAATTAATCTCCTTTTAGCTTTTTACTGCCACCCTTTGTTTCCTGCCCTTTAGCCAATTTCCAGTAGACTGTGCCAACTTTCCACTTAGTCTATAGCTTCATATCTTTTATATTAATAACCTGTGATGCAGAACAGCTTCTCAAACATTTTCTGAGAAATCAAAGTGCTCATGCAAGACCATCTACTGCATTTAGATTTTTTTTTTTTAATTCTCTGGTAGACATAACCCTGAAGGACTTCAAGCTACAAGCGTGATGTTTGCTTCTTGAAACCACCTTGACTCCCTTTGATCAAACAGTACTTCTCTAAGTATTTGCCTTGCTTGTTCCTTTAAACGCTGTAATTCATAAAGATTTCTCCAGAAGGCAGATACGAATCTAAAATGGTCTCCTCTGACATATTTGTGGAGTTGTCCGAAAGATTTTACTAACGTAATGGAAGGAGAAAAATTCTCTTTCATTACCTTCTTATCATTTGCTGCGGTGGCTGGCTTCAGGTTCATCGCTGGCAAGGGCCAAACGCTGCTGTCAGAGCCACACCTCTCCCACCAAATGGCTGAGCTGCCGTTCGAAAAATCTCAGGATGAAATTCTGCTTTTCAGCTGCAACAAGGTGGATCTTGCTGAGCTTTAAAAAGCAGAATTTTCTGCTGAAAGCTTTCAAATGAACTGTTCCATTATGAAAAATAAATATTTAATTCCATGCCAGAGAGCCTCAGCCATGGCTTGCCTGCTTTGTGCTACTCCAGTTCATTATAAAAGGCTCAATTCTCTAGAGCTCACCAACCTGCAGAAGTCCTCCAAATCTGGTCTCGTAACAGCTGAGCCACTGAATCCTGATTACATTTGTCAGTCTTGGCTACATGACTTCTCCTCCCATAGCCTGGCACTCTATCAAAGTACCATTTCACACCACCCTCAAATTACTTTTATATGCCTATTTCTGGATGTAGTCTCAGGGATGCTTAGCTTTCCTTCAGCAACATTTTGGTGGACATGGCATACCAGAGCTTTGACATGCTGAAAGTAAAATGTTCTGAAAACTCACCACATTGCCCCCTAACTTGGGAAAGGACACTGTAATTACAGCACAGAATCAGAAGCCAGAGGACTTGGATCCTCCCTCTGTCACGACTCACTGTGCGCCTTAATTTCCTGTGCCTCCCCTTTTCCAGGTCTGGAAACCAGACATTGTGCTTCCCTACCTCTATATAAACAATTTGAAATCCAATGCTGCACAAGGGCCAAATATGACTGCTGCTTGATGCCACTGCCTTTACTTCCAAGTGCCAAGCTTCCCAGATGGCAGCATAAAGACGTTGTTTCTTAATGCCAGTTTCTGTGCAAGGTGCACTGTCCACTGTCCACATATGGACAGAACAAGTCAGGGAAAAACACAAGGAGATAAAGCACTGGGGGTCTCTCTGGGAAGAGAAGGAAGAGATGATTAAGAGAAGGAGGTGCAATGGAAAGCGAGTTGGAGCATATGTTAGTTCCTAATAAAATTCAGGGCTTTTTTTGCCAGTATCTCTAAATTGAGGTGTCTAGTGCTCTGTCTTTCCTCCTCCTGCCCTCGTACATTTCTGCTGAATTTAGCTGTGAAGGGAATGTGGAAACAAAGCCAATTTTGCTTCCCTTTTGCGAAGCAGTTAAGAGATCCTGAAACGTGGATAGCATATGAACTGGATGTCATATTCCAGAATTTGAACACGTACAGACACTCCACACAAATCAGAAAAGCCCATGAGAAGCTTTGGTTTATACACACAGACAAATACTGCAGCAGCAATTGGCAGAGATGATACTGCTGAGATACTGTGCTGCAGCCATTACATACCCCAGAAATACTGGGTCTCAGCACACCAGAAAGAAAAATAAATAGGTAGGATTGCATCACTTCGCTGGCACTAAACAAATCCATCACAGTGATGAGGGCAGAGCTGTAGCCTGCCTGGCTGAAGAGAACAGCAGCAGGTCCCAAGTGAGGGATACCAGACATTCAAAGAGGGGAGAGGGAAGCTACTGGATTGGCAGCATGGAAATGTGAAGAAGGGGCTGTCTGTAGATCTCCTCCTTTTCTTCATGGCCAGAATCTCTCAGCATTTTTAAAATTTTTATTTTTAAAAAGTCTCAAAGATGTTCTAAGCGAGGTTAATTTAATAATTTGGTTCCTTCCTAGCAGTATTATGTCATTTGTGTATTTTCATTCTCTCGCACTGCTACAGCAAGCAATAAATTCAAGGTCAAATACTGAGTACAGTTAAAACTCCAGCAAGCCAGTTGACAGTGGACGGCTCTCAGCATTTGGGCCATGGAAGCAAAGCCTCCTCTTTTTGTGCTGTCATTGGATGGTTTTCCCTTGCTTAATATTTTATGAAAAATATGTGTCATCTGTTCCTTGATGCAAGAACAGGAATGCAGTTACAGAGGAAAAAAAAAGTGAGGTTTGCCTGTTTCTTGTTAACAAATATGTTCAAATCCCTTTGGAAGGCTCAGTATCCTTCAGTACAATGTCTCTGGTGGTCAAAAACTGGAACTGTTTGTGTCAAGGCAAGTCAAAATGATGGAGGCATTTAAAACTACCCCTAACACAAACACTGCATAACCCCCTCATTATGCCATCATTTGGGAACACACACTGCCACTCCTCCCATTATTTGGTGCTTGCACAAAACCATCACAAAGAATTAAGAACTGGAGATGAAGGGGCAGACAGATGGAAGTATAAAGCACTCTTCCAATTGCTCATGGCATTTTCTTGCTTAAGAGTTGATCTGGTGTCCTCTGTGTAATGCGGGATACTATGCTTATCATGGAAGACATCCAGTGCTCCCTTCTAGAGAACACAGATTTACATCAGCTTCTGGGAAGGCAGCATGATCTAGGCCTGAAGAGGAGCTGGAGGATGAGAAGGTAGGGAGAGATGGGTGTCTGTCACACTGAATGGTGAGGCTATGGGGTAACCATAGACCGGGGAGTGAGAAGGCATCAATGCTCTGCCAGGGATCTGGAGCAACCAGAGGCAGAGAACACAGCTGGGAAACTTATAACGTTCCTACTATGTGGATGTCACTAAAATGCTGCACCTTTGGGAAGGGCAGCATGTTACCTGGATTGGACCACAATCAGAATGGACAATTTGGGAAGAACAAATAAGCACACTAGGTATATTTGTTTCTCTCCCACAAATCAAATAGTTCAACCTTGGCTGTCTTACCTCGGGAGATGAGGACAGGAAAGGTTTGATGTATATATTGGAGTCGTGCACTTTTAGGTCATGGTCTCCCAGTCCTCGGGTCACTCCAATTGTTGCCATAACTCGAGCCTGGAAATAAAGAAAAGCGATGGGATTACTTGCATTGTGTCAATAGGGAATGAGGTAACGTTCCTACTCCGTAACTGTTACAGTTAGGGATGAATTCCCTTTTTTCTCCCAGAAACACTAGATTTAAACACAGCTAATCAACTTCCAAGCTTTGCACACTCACGTCATCTCCATTTCTCTCACTATTCCAAGCTTTGTATTCATTCGCATCCCATTCTGCGTACACCCATCTTAGACTGTGGCCATCTGTAAGGGACTGGGACTACGGAAACTCAACCCAGTCGCCTCACTGTCCCACACCAGTCTACGAGAGCATTCCTTCAGCAAATTACACTGTTAGTAAACAGGTTCTAATAAAAAGGATGAGAAGCCTGATTATTCAGCTAAGAAACCTGCGGCCTCTTCCTATTGACATATTGCCGTATATTCCCTCCACCAAGGAAAAGTGCCAAAGGTCACCTTAAATTGCTGAAAACACAGGTGACGGTGGCACTGACCACAGTGCTCTCCTCTGTGGAGAGCCAGTCCAGGGCAGGTCTCCTGTTACCTCAGATCTACCACTTCCTTCCCCAAGCACCTTCCTCTGCGACATGAGCTGTTTCCCAAGAGGTGCTGGGCTCTTCTTCATTAGCGCTTCTCCAAAGACTGACCAGGCAGACTGCCTCACAGGGAACCTCGCTCTCTGCATATCGCTTCCCCCAAACTCTAGTTTAGCCGCAGCAGCTTTTGAACAAGAGAGCTCACAGCATCAATAACAGCGAGCAACTGACTCAAAATTATTTTGCCTCACTAACCCCTGGCTCCATAAGGCAATAAGAAAGTAAATTAAGAAGATGTGCATGAAATGTTTTGCAAATAATTATAAACCTAACCAAATTCAGAGATAAGCTGCAGGTCTGAACCTTCAAAACTTGGACTAATTTTGAAGAGTGTGTATTTTTGCATTGAGATAAGAACCTAATGCAGCAGGGAAGCACTATTGAGAAACACAGCGAGCATACCAATATCGGCAAACTGACACCACTGCGTCCTTATATTGATCCTATTGCTACATCCAGCTAAGCTTGCTGGGATCAGCACTAATGATCTCACTGTTCTTAATCACAGAGCTGGAAACAAAGTACACCCAAATGGAACAGTTTGTTTCTCCCTTTCAAGGAGAACTATCAGCATTCACACATCAGAAAAATTCAACAGTGAGTTCACATACGCTAGCTGAAGAAGATACAGTTAAGGGGTGTTATGCTTCCCAAATCCTGCCCTGATCCCTCCCCTTCCTAAATTAGGGTTTTGCATCTCAGAGCACTCTGAAATGTTATTAAATATCCTCCTGCTTTGTTTTCAGCAAACATGAGGTATTTTGCTGCCTTCATCCAGCCTAGTTATATTTTACAATGAAGCCAGGAACATTTTAAGTCAATTATTTAAGATGGTCTCATTGTAGCCTACTTACAGTGAAAAAAAAACCCAAAAGCAAACTGAACAGCAAATGATTTCTTCGCTATAAAAATGCTTTTTAGTATGTTGAGCTCCCCCCGCCGCCCCCCAGACATGAGACTGATTTATGACAGAACCAAGATATTCTTTCAAGCTGTCAAAACGATAAAATAAAGAGATACTGAGTGGAAAACACTGGACTGCCACAGGCTAAATCAAGTGGTAAACAGCACAGAATTCCTTCTTCCTTTGGTCTGAGGAAAGCAAACATGCCCACCTTCTTGCCTTCTCCGTATATAAGGGGAAACTTCAAGTCATCTTCCTCAATGGTTTTGTATGCCCTGTGGGGGGAGGACAAACAACACTTATAAAGCTTGCACTCAATTAGTGACCCAGTGCCCTGAAACAAGCAGCTATGATTTAAAAATAATAATTTAAAAAATCATTATTTTTCCTAGGGACTCTGTCTTTGAACCAAGATGTAAATTTGTTGTTCTGTGGAAAGATTTTCCCTAAAGAATTATCTATTTCACCAAAAGGAAAAGTGAGCATGAGGAAATATCTAACATGCCAAGCTGCTCCTATTGCTTGCAAGGAAAAAGAGGTGGACTGGAATAACATCCTAATCAGGTAGGATATCGTTGGCCTTGGCAGCAGCTCTACCATAATACAGTGTCATAAAAAAACCCAACCAAACAAAAAAACCCCACCAAATCCACCAAGAAGCTAACCAGTGACTAGACTCACACTGTTAACATGAAATGGTGAGCAACAACAGGATGCGTACACAGTCAAAGTGTGAAACAGCTCTCTGATTCTGTTCTCACCTTTCAGGACTGCTTAAACTAAGACAAGTTTCATGTGCTGAAAAGTCTTGGAAGGATATTTAGTGCTCATTTGACCTTGACTGCAAGAGTCAAGGTTGTCAGAGATTTTGTGTTTCACAGCAGTTTTTCCATGGCCAAGAGACAATAGTAGTAAATGCTCATGCTCTGATTCTGTTTACCACATGCCTGTGTACTCTACCTTTTACACATCCAGCTGTTGACACTGTTGAAGTGAGAAGGTGAGCAATTTTTGAGCAATTTTGCCAGTGAGAAATTCAAAAAACCCAACCGACCAAATAAAAAAGATGGCTATCATTCTCATAAGCTGTAGAGTCCCATGGTTTGTATGATCAAGCCGAGGTTCTGGAGAGCCTCTTTATTAAAGTACATCACCCGAGAGGGACACGCTTCCCTTCATACCACAAAGTTGTCCCTCCCCAGCCTTTCCCTGCATGTTGTCCTTTCCTCCCAGCCCACCCCTGCCCAAAGCCCTCAGGGTGATACCAAAATCATCCCCCGAGCGTGTGAGTCAGTGCCCCCCACCAAAGTGGAAGGGACAAGTGGGAGGAGGGAAGGTGCCGCGGCGGGTCCCTTGCCAGCCACCGCCAGCCCCTGCTGAGTGGCCCTTCAACCAGGCTGGCTGCTTGAGCTCCAGGGAGTCGCTTTTGATCACATTTAAGCAATGTTAAGGCTGTGACACAAACCAGCAGGAAATTAAAAGTTAAGGGTGAAATCCTATATTGTAATCAAACTGCCCCCTGCTTCGCTGAAATATGGCATAGACCTGGGATCAATAAATGGTGCTGTATTACACAGCTATACATGCTGCATCACCTAGGCAAGCCTCAGACATAAAAAGAATAGCATAGACATTTGAGCCCCACCTTTACATTTCCCAGTAATCACAGGTAGGCTTAGGGGAGGGGTAGAAAAAAAGAAAAAGCAACCAAAACACAAAGAAGAAACTAGTGGAGGACTCTGCTCCCATCCTACAAAACATTACTAGGTGTGAAATCTCAAAACAGAACCAAGTGAGGTTTGCAAAATACAGTGGGTGCTTCTTGGGACACCATGTAGTCAAGAATATTTTGTGTATATAACCATGATACTTGGGCATCTCTATAAGAGACAATACAGTGAAGTATTTAAATGGCATGTTATACTGGGGAGGGCAAACAGATTAGCTCTTAAGCCAAACAAAAAGGCACAAATCACTACAAATAGCCAGCATGATAATACTTCCCTGATATTTAAATCCTGGAATAGCATTTTGTTGGGAAGGATGAGTCAGTCGTGGCCTTTGCTCTTGTTTCTTTCTTTATTTCCAACAGGGAATAGCTAATGTCTCTGCCTTACTCACCAACTTGGATATCCAGCTTTGAATGCGGAGGAAGAATTTTACCATCCCTGACTGCTCATGAACATGTCCCAAAGCTTCCAGCTGGACCTACAGTGCTGGGAGCCCTGGCAAAACCTCCTTGAGGAGGAGTCTGAACTCTTTCCTACTCCTTGCACAGAGCCAGTTGTGCTCTGACACCAAGAAAAAGGGTATCAGCTGAGTCCATATCAAGCATCAGAGTCAAATGACTAATCAAGGCTGACAAGACAACCATTCCTACTGGATTTTCAAGTTATTGTACATATTTGTTGCAAATAGCAAACAAGACTAAGTTGACATGACTTAACTATTTGCAACCCCCTTTTTAAAGGAAAAAACAAATCCATTCTTTACCCACAAACTATATTATGTGCAAGATAACTACAAATATTTAAGACCAAAGCCCCCACTTTACACTGTCCTGTAAGTAGCCAAAAACGGATCAAGTTTTCTTCTCTCTCTCCCCTCCTTCCTTATATTCTCCTGCATAGCACCTCACACTGACTGCGCTTTAGGAAGAAGGAAAAAAAGAAGGGGTGAAAAGGCATCATTTAGGCCAGTGTCCTTCAAAAGAATGGTCCCCACTGCCAAGTCCAGCATCTTTTATGGCACCACCATAAGGACCATCATCCCTGGGGCCTTCAAATGTTACACAACAGTGCAAGGTTGCTGGAAGAGGCTGTGCTGCAAGGGCTGAAGCTAACATGTTTCATCAGCAGATTAGGAAGGGCAGCTGGCTAGCCTGTGACCTCTGAAGCTCTGCGACTAAGTGAGGGAGGCCCAGAGGGCTATAGTGATTGGTTTTGCGGTTTCTCACAGCAAATCACCTCTTGGGCTCAGAACTTGGGTGTCAAGACTCATCTCAAAAGCACATCTTTGTTGATGTTGCTATCGCCTGAAAAATTATCAGTGCTTGAAAAACAATGCTCAGAACTGCAACCGCAGCACTGGAGCTGGCACAGACACACTGAAAAGCAATCTGAGACACTCTAGAAAAGTACCTGTGTCCTGCATTACTAGTGAAACAGAATTAATAATATATGAGCGTGTGGTTTGCTGCAAGAGAGGGATGAAGGACAGCTTTTCAGCTAGCAGCTCGGCAACTGCGCTGGGCAGAAGGAAGGAAGGAAGGAAGCTATGAAGTTCATTTTGATTTATGCCCTGTGAAACCCTCTGTACTTTGTACATGTGTTTATTTCACACAGGCTACAACCTTCTGGACTATTTCACTTGGTTTTATGTAATAAAGTTGCATTTATACCTTCCTGTGCTGTTTAGAGTGTTCTGTATATAAAGATATAATATGGCAGTAGGTATATCAAACACAGACATACGGAGAACCTGAGGGGGTTGTTTGGCTTTTTTAGTGCCAACATGGCCTTATTCAGCCATCTATGTAATTCAGCCTAGCTCACTGATTTAACAAACACAGGGTTGCAACCCTCCACTCTCCCCACCTTCCTCATCCGCATCCCAGGAGGTCTCAGTGGCCACCAGGGCATGAGAAGACAGGTTATAAAGACAAGGCTACGGTATTGCTTGCTGCTCTGAATGAGCCTAAATCCTGTCAAGTGCTTCTGCCACGTAAACCTCTACTTTTCCAAATGGAAAAACAGGGGGGCGGAGGGGGGAGTTGAAAAGGCGAGCTTGTGCCCAGCTAGATCTAGCTGCATTTTTTTCAGTTAACTTCGTTTCTTCTTTTCATTTCAAAAGAATTATGAAATGCTACTGCTGTCCAAAAATACTGAACTAGGGCTTGACATATGTACCACCCACAAAGTTACATTTGGACTCAGGATCAACATTTTGGAAAACGAGGCCAAATCGCACTGGGAGCCAAAAGAGATGTCAGAACGAAAGAACTAGGACTGACATGATGTTACTCATATGCTAACTGGAATCTGCTCTAAATACAGGGTGAAATAATCACCAGAAGCTGCTAAATGCACAAGACAATCTACAGAAGATGTTTCCTACAGTGCTGAGGTCATTAGCAGTGCTCTAGGCACTCTTTAAATAAAAGATTACCAAAGTTACCTGCATATTGCTGGGTCAGAACTTGAAAAACTGGTCGGCTCCCAAACACAGATTTCAGAGCCAAAATCCTAGATAATTTCTTACATGTGTTATGCATTCTCCTGCCATATAATTTGTTCTTTAAACTGGCCTTCTGAAAGCACAGGCAAATTCACGTAAGAGTAGAAGTTGTTGATGACAAAAAAAAAAAGCCACCCACTTCTTTTTTTTTTTTTTTAAACCAGTAACCTGTGTAAGGTTACTGGTCATGAAAAGTATTGCATTGGCATCCCCAGGCACAACAGATGGTGGCAAAAACACAATCTACCCTGACCTGGAAGGCTCAGTTCTGTGAACGACAGGGGAATCGAAACTCCGTGCTCTGCTTTTCCATAGCACTTGGCTTTATAAAGTTTGTTGTATTTCACATCTTTGCTAGTGACACCTGATAGTAAACTGAGAATTAAACCTGAGGAAGAGCAAAAAGAATCATCATCAAAAGGCTTTAGCTTGAAGCATAGAGCAAAACCCACTTGAGGCAAGCAAGCAAGAAAAAGCACTGTGGCTTCAGAAATGTCCTAGTTCATACTGAGTACAAGGATGAAGGCTCTCCTTTGAGACAGCTTTGTGGATGCAGTGTATTTCTAGCACTGCTTTGCTACCACTCTGCAAAAACTCAGAACCACCTCCAAACATTCCCCACCCCCACAACAAAACCACCCCAGCTAACCAACCATCCTCCTGTCCCCCAAGCTCAACTTTCCTTGGCCATACCAATAGAAACCTGGATTTTAATCCTTAAGCAACAGAAAACTTGATAGAAACTAGGGGTTTTTTTCCCCTCCCCCACACAAAATCAGTGGACTGGAGCCAGCCCTTTGGATAACAGAGCTTAAATCACCAACCCAAAAGGAACTGTTTATCGGTACTGTCTATTGAACTACAGGCATTAAACCAGTATAAATGCATGCTTACTACCAAGGAGAAAAAAAAATGTGTAGCACAGGTTAGGCACAGAGCCACTGAAAATTATACAATTTATGGCTGGATCCAGCCATAATTTTTTAAAAATGTCCTTATACATATGTGCTTCTGCAGAGTCAGGATCTCTAAATCCAGA